TATTATTATTATTATTATTATTATTATTATTATTATTATTATTATTATTATTATTATTGTTATCGTTAATAATCATTATTGATTTATTACTATTATGATATTATTCTTATTACTATTATTCCTATTATAATAATTATTGTTATTCGTTATTATCACGATCGAATTAAACAAAAAAATAAATAAATAAAAATAAAAAATAATATGCTCTATACTCGGTATCTGTGTCGAAAACACCTATACATATACATATTAATGATTATTGCTATATTATATGACTAAAACTCCGCTATAGTAAGAAACACCAACACTATTACTCCTCCCTTGTCCCATCGATTGAAAAAGTATGACGTCGTTCGATAGATCCATAGTAAGATCCACGAGTTATTCGAATATTATTATGAAACATCGTTAAAAACATCCATACTTGTCGAAATTTCGTCTAATGTGAACGACGTCAATTCCATAAATTTTGTACGTATATTGCCTCTCTAGTTTCATTTTTTCAACAAGCAAAAAAAATAAATAAATAAATAAATAAATAAATAAATAAAAGAAAACCAATACGAATTTTTTAGAAAATTTGAGAGATAGAGAGAAAGAGCGGGAGAGAGTGAGAATGAGAGAAAGAGAGAGAGAATAAAGAAAAGAGAAATAATAGTCGATTCTTGCATTGTGCATAATGAATGTGTATGCGTTCATGTGTAAGACAATGAAAAAGATTGATGAAACGCATTGTATTCATCCCTTGATACATACCTATTTATTTGTACATTATTTTACCGAATAAATGTGCATCTTTTGCATCCTTAAATTTAGAATTAAATATCTTATTTATCCTTGATATATACTGAATCAATCAATTTTTTTTGTAAAAATTAAAAAATAAACGTGATTTAAAAAATTATATTTAGATATTTATTTATATGTAGATAAAAATCAATGTAAAAAACTTTTTTAACATGTTATAAAAAATATAAAAAAATATAAAAAACAAAAAATATTTTATAAAATTAATAAAAAGAATGAAATTTATTTATTTTCTTTATAGAAAAAATTAAGAAACTTAATAATTAGAAATAAAAATTATAAAATGAAGATTTTTTTGCATAGTATGACTAAAAGAGTTATAACTTATGAAAAATTAGAAGTAAATAAATAAAATGAAAATTTATTATCGAAAATTTTTTTATCAAAAGGATTTTATTTTATATTTCGATTATTTATTTCATTTTATTAAAATAATGAATGTAAAAATGTAGTAGAAATAATCAACAATAAACAATTTACAAATTTTGACGTAAAAATAAAATTAAAAAATAGTATTTTGAAGTATTCAAAACTTTTTAAATACTCATTAATCATTTTTCAGCAATCATTTATTTATTAAATTCACATTTAAGTTTATCAAAATCTTTTAATATTTTTTAGATTCTTAAAAATTCTTCTCAATACCTTTGAAATATCGTCTAATAATTTTTATTTTTAATATTATTATATCTTTTTTTAATAATTATTAAATTATTATTTTAATAATTATAAATTATCTTTATAAACTTTATATAATCATAAACTATAATTATAAACTTTTGATAATTTTAATAATTTAATCAAAAGATATGTTTTATTTACTTTATTATGAATTAAAGAAATCAAATATTTTTGATATTTTAAGCACACATATTTTCGAGAGAAGTAAAAAGATATTCATTTGGCGGGAAAAAATATACAAGTAATATGTTTTGTTTTGTAAGAAGAGATATATTCACAGATAATTTCTTTTTTAACAATAATAATAAATCTAAAATGATAATTAATGCAATTCAAGTGACATATATCAGCCAAATTTTATTAAAAAAAAAATAATTATTAGATCGCAGATTGATCTGCTATAAATATTCGATCGATTAATTTCTACTAATTGATAGTAGTAAATATAAAATTTATCATGTTCGATATAATAATGTGATATTCCAAAATCAAATTAAGAAAGATTAAAAATCGTATTATCAAAAAATATCATTCATTTTATAGATATTAATATATATATAATTTATTATAAAATGATCTTTAAGATATCATTAGTAGATTGATTTGGCTAAAATTAGACAAAAGTATCTATATATCAGAACATATAATAATATACGTAATAATACATTTGAACATTATTTATAGATCATAGATAGTTTTAAGCTTATCTAAGTAATATTAGATTATGTTTAATCTCTCCAAATTTTATTTTTAATATCTATTATCTATATTAATATCTAATATCTATTATCGCATTTTATTTTATAATTTTTTATATATTTAATAGTATCTAATTTTTAGAAAACAAATTTAATCTTTGTTTTATATTTATTTAAACTTTCATTAAATAAGAAAAAAGAAATAATAGAATATTCGAATTTGATGTTCAATATTATTTATTAAATAAATATTTAAATAAGTATTATTTATTAATTAAATACAAAAAATTGCGATATTCAATTTGATGTATCTATTTCATCTGTTTTCATTCTTTTGAGTTTTTAAATTTATTTCATAAAAATAATCTTGAGTACTCTGCGTTTTCATACATAAATAAACTCAAAATAAAAAGAATGGTGGAAATCGATTGAAATATTCTCTCACCAATTAAATTTTACGATAATTCATTATAAATACAAGAAAAGAAATATCAAGCTTTTGTTTATCGTGGAATTTAATAATGATAAGATTAATTTATTTATCTTATTATTTTTGCAATTAGCTTTGATTGCGTTGATTGATATATGTGATAATTTTATTTTTTTTACTTTTTAATTAATCTTATTATCACTTATCGATTCTTATAAATCAAAAAAATAAAAATAAATTATATCTAATGTATTTAATCCGTATTGAAAAGAAATCTCAACTATTTTATTTTATTGATTTTTATTATTTTATTTTATTTTATTATTATTATAAATATTATGCAATACAATATTATGAAGAAAAATAGAGATTAAAGTGGTTAGTCTTATAAATTATTAATTCTTCTTGATTATTTCTTCATGAAATAACAGAAACACAGGAGAAAGAATAGTGACACAATGCGTGGAAAAGTAATCGTTCTTGGACTAATCCAAATATTTTGTCAGGTAAAGTTAAGATTTTATTTGCACAATAGATATTTAAAAAAAATACTATAATTATTATATAATATATATAGAATATAAATTTATTGTTATATTTTTAATTTGAAATGAATTATTAGATATGTATAATTTTTATTGTTATATTTATATTATTTATAAAATTTATATAAAAAATGCTTCATAAAAGACTGTTTCATTAAATATTAAAGAACATAAAATCATTCAAATATTTGTTTTTGATTTTTCTTCGTAAAAATGATTTTTCTTCATTTATCAAATAATCTAATTTTTTTAATTAAATTTTCGCATAATAGTGGCTTTATTTTATTTTATTTATAGCGACTTAAAATTGTCTTTCAATATAATATAATTGTTTTTAGATTATTAATAATAATATACTTACAACAAATTTTATTATGTATCAAAAGAAATAAATAATCGCAATATAATAAAAGAAAAATTTTATAAACGCCTAATTTTAGAGAAGATCATACGATTTTTTAACTCTTTTAGATTTCTTCTTATGAAATTTTATAAATAATAAAGTTTAAATTAAATAAAATGAATTGTGTTTGCATGAAAAATGTTTATTTAATGCTAATGCGTTTCATAATAAATATTGTGAAATTTATAATTTTAATTTTTTAAAATTATTTTTATATTTTTTTTTTTATTTAAAGTAGAGAAAGATTTGTAAAATTATGTTTTATGTTTTGTATATTTATATTTTATCTCAATTTGAAAGTATAGCATTCAATTTGAATAATTTTATATCTATTTATAACTTCCAGAATCACATTTTAAAAATAATCGATCAAAATTATTTTTTTTCTGTCTTTTAATAAATATAAAAATCATATATTAATCGATATCATTGTTACAAAACAGATATTTGGAGAAAAATTGTCTGATTATTATACTGCAGCTGTGGTAGAATATTCACCCATTTTTATTAAGGATGACATAAAATTGACTTATGAGAAGAACACAGATGAATATATCAATTACATAGAACGAGCAAGTAAACAGGTGAGCTCGATAAATCTTAGTTATAATTTTTATGATATTAATATAAATAATATAAGTAATTTAAATCCATTTCTAAAAGTATATTTTAAAAATAACTAATAATTTTCAATATTTATGCATTTTTATGAATTACATATACAAAATATTAGGTTAGGTTATATTTTTATGATACTTTGGAAAGCTGTTGATTAATATAAAAATTAATATGAATTTATAATAATAAAATAAATAATAAATTATTCGATTAATTAAAATGGAATGAAATAACATATAATAAAGATAGATATATAGGTTTCTTTTCATTTATTGTGAGTTTAAGTAGCTTATGACTTAATAAATAATAATAGAATGTTTATTCCTTAAATTAATAGAAAGATTGTTCAAATAAGAATATTTTCAAATAATATTACAGACTTTTCTTAAATGAATTATATATTGAAGAAAATAACCTGTATTTACAATGAAAATTAAATATTTTATTTTCACCATGTCAAATTTTTTTGATACAAAGGAATACTTTGTAAATTTTCATTTTCATTTTTCACTTTTTCATTTTTTTTTAATATTATATAGATACTTTTACCAATTCTATAGTTTTAAATTTAATTAAAAAAAACAGTAAATAGTCTGGTAATAAACCAGATTTGAATGTATATGGATAATGGAGATTATTATAATTCAATTAATATTTTTCCATTGTGTTTATCTCTAAAATCAATCCTCCAAAGATAATATATAATAGTTAATAACAATTTATATCTAAAATAAAAAAATTATACAGAATGCCGACATCATTGTTTTTCCGGAAGCTGGATTGACATCCATGAGCATGCCTATTTTTCACGAATATAATGACTGGACAACAGTGGTTCCTTCTTCTCAGGACAACTATATACCTTGTACAGAATCTAGAATCAACGGCATCATCAAAGTAAATATTTCCATTCGACGAATTATTATACATTTTTATTAATAATTCGATATTTGTTCAATTTTTATATTTATTCAATTTTCATCTAATTTTCTTTAACTATTTATTCGTAGGCAATAAAAAGATTGTCATGCGCTGCGAGGGATAATCATATATACGTAGTAATAAACGTTGGCGAGAAGCGATTCGATGAAAAGAATGGCACATGGCATTATCATAACACTAATATTGTGTTCGATCGAATTGGAAAAATTATTGCTAGGTATATAGATATATTTTTGCGACTACTAAAAAACAATCTATTATTCTTTTCAAAATTTGACCTTATAAATAGATATCGTAAAGTGCACCTTGCTTTGGAAGGAAAATTCGAAAGTTCAGTGCCACCAGATCTCGTTACTTTCGACACTGATTTTGGAGTAAAATTCGGTGTCATTATATGTTTCGATATGCTATTTGAGGAACCTGCCTTAAATTTGACGAGAATAGAAGGTGTTTCAAATATTGTGTATCCTACTGCCTGGTTCTCGGAAGTGCCATTTATAACCGGTATATTTATCACTTTATGATGTTATTTTATTATTATTTTATATTATCGCATTTTATAAACTCAATTGTTATGCATTTTATAAACTCGATATTAACTTTTTTTCGTTTGAAATTATATCTTTCAGCTATTCAATATCATTCTGGATGGGCTTATAGCGAGAATGTAAATGTACTGTCGGCTGGATACAATAAACCCGAATTCGGAAGCATAGGAAGCGGTATTTATTTAGGTAATGATATGATATATCTTATTTTTTATTTTTACTTTAAATATTTGTTCTTGACTTTTAATTTTACTTATTAATATTTACTTTTTAATTTTACTTATTAATATTATATTGCTTTTGTAAAACTTATTTCTTCTAAAAATTTTTATTATTAGATTATAAATAAGTCCAAAAATTGATCATAAACTTAACATTTGAAGCAAGAAGTAAGAAGAAAACAATTTTTTTAAATTGTTGTAATATATGAAAATAAATTCTTCATAGTGTGATAAATTAAATACAGAAATTTACAAAAGCAAATGACATTTATTACATATTTTGGATTATTTTGTGGAATAAAATTTTCTTTTAACAAAAAACAATGTCTTTTATCAATAAAAAAATCAATAATCAATAAATTACATATTTTATCATAGAATAAAAATTTTTTATATATTAATTTCAAATTTGGAAAATTCAAAAATCAAAACAATATTATAATATTTATATTTAAATATTATATTTATAATCATCTTCTTTTAATTTCTAAAGTTGTTAATTATTTACATTAATTTTTCAAATTTTTATTAGGTCGCAACGGAATAATCAACGTGACCATGTCTGTAAATCCGAAGGAGCGGCTTTTAATCTCTCGAGTGCCAAAAACGCCTAGAAAAATCGAAACACAAGAGAGAGGATACATTACAAATCAATTTTACTCGAAAAGAAATCTGCGTACATCGAACATCGATTTGATAAAGTTAAAGCACGATCATGTTACATGGTTTAATTCTGTTCTGGTTAATGATTCTATGAATGAAATTATCTGTTACGGTAACTTCTGTTGCGACTTTCTGATTCGTATAGATACTATCGATCCGTCCACTTATTATCACGCAGTTGTGTACGATGGTATTCACGTGTTCGAGAAGATATTGGACGCTGGTGTTCGTCTATGCGCCGTGATCCAATGTTCTAATGAGTCGCTCCATTCTTGCACTTCCGTCGATTCGTCCGACACTACGTTTTCGACTTTGAGGATAACAGCGAGATTCGACGATTATCCGAACATTTTGGTGACACCGACTGTGATCGATTCTTCCCTTATTCCCTTCCAGCATTGGTCATACGATGAACAGATGCATGGAGAAGAAACAACTGTCACAATTGCTTTGGAAGAAGAGATGAAAAATGTGATTAACTTCGGCATATATTCCAGGAACTTCCAAAGAGATAAATATTATGAGTAATTTTAGGAATCGATAGAACTCCATAAAATTATCGACTTTTTTAGAATTATTTTCTTCTTTTTTATTATTTTTTTTTCTTTTTCTTTTTGTATTACAATGCATATTTACATAAATTATTATCAAATTATTTTTTAGAAATTTTTGAAATCTAAAATAATTATCTTCTCTCGATATTCTGAATTTATACTTTTACGCGCATCACAATTTCTAAATACGTAAATATTAAACTAATTAATTTTCTAAAAAATTCTGAATTTCAAAATTAAAATATTAGATAATTTTCTTGTATAAATTTTAGTGTAAAATTCTTTTGAATTAATTATGATTATTACAAACATTTGATCGCAAGTTACAATCGAATAGTAAACAATTGTAATCCGAAGAAATGCGGATTTGATTGATTAATTTTGATGGAGACTCAATATATTCATAACAATAAGTAAATATATTAATCAAAAATGTTACATTTACAGATAACATTATATAATATCAATAAATAAACGATGAAAGAAAATACTCTCTTTATTTCTATGCTCTTTCCAACTATTCAATTTGTCTTCTTTGTATTATATTTATTTATAAAAGGGAAATCACAGAAAAGTGAAAATTTGTGATTTGTTGAAACATTTGATCGTTGATTTAAATCGAAATTTTCAAATTTCCCCCCAAAATTATTATGGAATAATATGAATTAATTTAACTATCTTTACATTTAGTTTATTTGATTCTATATATATATTCATAATAAATACAATGTATATATGTATATAACATCATATTTCTTTAAAGACAAAGAATAATGAAAATAATTTCAAAATTTTTCCTATCACTCAAATTGTCTGATACAATCAATCACGTATATATATATATTAATCATTATGAATATCATGATTACAGGTATAAATAACAGAATAAAAAGTAAAAGTATTTATAAATTTTATTATTCATGGTGAAATTTCTTTTATAACGATAAATATTATAAACTTAAGCTTACATTGTAAGCTTTTAGAACGAAAAATTATTTGTTTATACTTACATGTTATATTGATTCTTTTTATTTAAATTTGAGATATTTTTTAAAATTATAAAATTATTCCTTATAATTAATCAGTCTGAATTTTCACATAATTTATCTACACGTGTTTAATATATTGTAAATAAAACTTATTAAATGAATTATTCATAGCTGATAAGAAAAGAAATATTTACGTAACGATATATATGCTATATATCTTATATAGATGTGACACTTTCATATTATTTTCATTTCATGATGAATCAACCAATCTTCTTATCAATTGTCGATAATACAGGATATTAATATATTTACTTGATTTATCTCTACTGTCTTGTTCTATCTTTTCTATCTTTTCCTTGTTTTATGTAAAAATTTGTTTATAAGTAATTCCTAACCGATATTTTTATATTGTTCTTTTTCTGTATGTGCAGTGTACATTAATTGTATAACTATTTCATGTCTGAAAAATGTAGTTTTATAACGAGTTTTACCATCGATCAATGCATACATCTGATATTTCATCGAAAAATGATGGATTTGACACTACAACGACCGTATATTCAAAAAGCGAATGTTTGTAACAAAAAACAATAATTAATCATTATTTTTTTGCCAAAGAAATAATACGATATACCAATGAATCTATTTGATAAATTTTATATTTTATTATTTTTTTTTTATTTATTTCTGTTTTTATCATCTTACTTGTGCATATCAATAAGTAATAAATCCTTTATTTTGATATAAATAGACGATAGTAGGAAATTATATTGTATTATCACACCGAATAAAAAACAATTTAATAATCATTTTAGAATTAAAAAAAAAAGCGATAATAAATTTATTAGTGTTAAAGTTATATAATTTATACAATTTTGATCGCGAAATATACAATAAAAAATATTATATATTTGCTTACAATAAATATAAAGACTTCACTTTATGAAAGTTTTCGAAACGGTGAAATGCAAAGTAAAAATTGAATCCGTGAAGAAAGTAAAATAAATTTAATATTGTTCGTTTATTTTCATTCGTGTGAAGAAGGAAAATCATCATGTTTGGAAAATTGAACATATTTGAATATCTGTTAATCCTTGCACAACTTTCATATCAGGTAATAATATAAAATAAAATTGAGATTTGAATAAAATGAGAAAGTATAGTCAAGATTGGAGAAAAATAAATTAAAATAATTTAAACTAAAATATTTCTATAAACAAATGTTATTTAAAAATATAAGAATTTTATTTAATATCTAAATATGCGAGTAAATATTATTTAATATTTATATTCGATTTAATATATTTAAAATATTTATTTTTCATTTAATTAAAAAATGTTCTATTTTTTATTTCTTATTTAAACTGAATTATATAATATAATATATATATATAATATAATAATATATTATACTAATAATATTAAAATTAAAAGTTATTTTAATTTGTTTGAAATGATACTATTATTTGAATTTTTTTTTCAAAGTAATATTTATGTATATAAATTAATTAAGACAAATATGTATAATTAAAACATGTATATTATTTCTTTATAAAATTTATAAAATTTATAAAATTTGTTTCTATTTTAAAATTCTATTTTTTCCAATATTGAATATATTATATATAACAATAAAAATACATTACAATTTCAATATATATATACAATTTATATATATTATATATCATTTATTTGCTGCAATAGTGATATAATACAAAAAATCACAGCTTTAAAGAAAACAAATCTGAATATTATCAATTCCTATAAAAACATATAATTAAAATTCCAAATATTTGAAAATTCAATATTTAAAAATTTTATTCATAATAATACAAAAAAAAGATTTTCTACATGAATAATTAAATTATAAATTTTTTGATTATGTTTGTGTTATAATAAGCAATATATCTACAACAAAATTTCGATTTTAAACGAAAGTTATTATGTTTTACCTTATAAAAATCATACATTAATTCATATTGTTATTCATTTGAACATAACAAGTGCTTTTAGAATCAAACTCGTCTGATTATTACACCACAGCCATAGTAGAAATTATTATCAGGTATATATATTCGCAATTAAAATGAAAATAATTTCTTTGTTCTTTCTTATAAACAGATATCGCAAAATAAATCTTTGGAAGGAAAATTCGAAAGTCCAGTGCCACCGGATCTCGTTACTTTCGACACTAATTTTGGAATAAAATTCGATGTCATTATATGTTTCAATATGCTATTCAAGGAATCTTAAATTTAACAAGAGTAGAAAGTATTTCAAATATTGTATATTCTATTGTCTGATTATCATCAGTGTCATTTTTAATCGGTACATTTACTTTTCATATTTTATTTTCATTAAATTTGGTCAATTTCAATTTTTGTCAATTATCATTTTTTGTTTGTAATCATTTCTTTTAGTTGCTCAATATTAATATGGATAGGCCTATGCCGAAAGTGTGACTACTGCTGAATATAATAAACCAGAATTTTCGTTTCTGGAAGCGGTATTTATTCAGGTATATATAATTATACAAATTATTCAAATGTTCATAAAATACTTTTAGATCTCGAGACTAAAACAAATACAAAAGTTAATGTACAAAAATATCTGTTGAAGCTTATTTATTAGGTCTAAAATTAGTAATAATTTTATTATTATAAGTAGATTATGAATATTATGTATTTATGTAAAATTTAAATGTATAAAAATTTATAAAATGCACATAATATGGAAAAAGACATAAAATACCAAAAAATCCAAAAATATAATATGCATTATCATATTTGATTAATAAAACAAATCTCTATTTAAACTCTATTTTTTATATTTATAAAAATTTGATTTTCTATAAAAATCTACAATTTAATTAGCAATATTTAATAAGCAACATCGATCGTCATTCATTTTAATTTTTATTTTTTGAAGGTCGTAATGGAATACTCAATACAACCATATCTAGCAATTCCAAAAATCGGCTCCTAATTTCTTGACTTTCTTTGATTTCTAAAAATGTCCAGAAAAACCAAATCAATATCAAAATGGTTGAAGATAAAAAAGAAACTGAAAACAATGGGAAAAAAAACTATACATGAGGAAATGTTTGATCTTCATGATAAATCAGTAACAGAAAATATTGATTCGATATTAATATCACATATATATTAATATTACATGATAATATACATGGTTCAATTCTGTTCTGCTTAACGATTCGATCACGAGACATATTTGTTATGGCGATTTCTGTTGCGACTTTGTGATTCGAACAAAGATTATTGATCCATCGACTTATTATCGTGCAGTGATATACGACAATTCGACATCGTGGTAGATGCTAATGTTTGTCATTACGCCATGATCCAATATTCCAATGAATCATTAGTATTCTGCTATTCCGCTATATATATACAATGTTCCAATGAATCATTAGTATTCTAGTATTCTGCTATATATATACAGAAATTATATTCTCCACTTTGAGTGTGACAGCAAGATTTGATGATTATTAAGATATTCAAGTATTGCCCAGTCCATTTAATTCTTCTCTTCTTTCCTTTGAACAATGGTCATTCAATGAACAGACATTTGGAAAGCAAACAAAAGTAATCATTACTTTGAACGACAAGAAATATTCTTACTTTTAATCTATATGCTAGAATTTTTTCTAAAAATATAAAATACTAAGTTGAATTGTAACTGTAATATGAAATCAATGCAATTTTTTAATAAAAATGATATGTAATTTTATGTTGTTATCATGATGAAAAATATATTTTCACAAAGCAAAAAGATAAAAAAGTTTCTGTTCCTTTATAAAATTATTATATTAAAATAATTTATTAAATTATTATAATAATAATATCTGAATGAAATAAAAATTATACTTGTATATATAATAGTTCGTAAAAACTCTCTATAAGAAGATTTTTAATCAAATGTCAATAAACAATTTTATAATGAAATTTAATTTTAAGAAGAAATAAAATCAATGCTCAAAATTTTTTTAAAATATAATTTTTTAATTAAAGCAGATAAAACAAAATTCGAAATTATAAAATTCAAAATTGAATTGTAAAAATTGTATTCAAAAATGAAAAGTAGAAATTGAAAATTGATTTCAAAAAAGACTTGGCATCGACGAATTTTATATATATATTTTCATTAAAATCGGAATTTTCAGGTTAGATAAATTTATTTATATTATATTGAAAAATAGTATTCAAATACTTTCATGCACTATTAATTTTTAAAAATTACTATATGTGGAAATTCTTATAAAAGAGAACGCATGGTATTAATTTCTTTTTTATTGTCTTTTTTTTTAACATAGTGCACAATAAATAACGTTATATATAACGCTATATATAATAACATTATATATATTATACAGTTATATACATTATGTTATTATATATATTATAATCAATCTGTCGCAGAGTAATCGATTTTTAAAAAGACAGATTAATTATATCATAAACAGTGTTGCATATAAATAAATACATTCACAGTAAAAGGACAGCGATAGTTGAATAATATTAATGAATTTACATTAAACATCTTTTTTATCGATGTTGTATCGATAGATTAAATATTTAATTTCATAATTTAAAATATATATGGATAATAGTGAAGAATTTCACGAAATATATAGTAGGATTAATAATCAATAGACGATAAATATATCGACGATACGTCGATGTAGGCATGTCATCGAGAAAAGTCGTTATAAGTTGAATACGTGTAGGTATGTAATAACATTTGGTACTCTTTGTAATACTTCTCATTAATTTCTTAATACGCATCACAGATATGTCGTTGTTTATAGAAAACAAAAACAGGATAAGATTACAAACTTATTCGTTGCAATTAACATTAAAATAAGCAAATTGAAATATAACTTCAAATTCTTAATCAACTAAATTTATTTGTATTACAAAACAAAATTCAAAGGATTAAGAATCATAATGATGTAAGTCAATAGAAAATGGAACTATATTATAATTTTACATTTTAAGTTACTTATATATAAATTATCTCAACATATTAATTACGAATTAAAGCCATTCCAATATTAAATAGAGAATGTGAAAAGAAAGCTATTTTTTCCTTAAATATTTATTTGTACATATATTATATTTCTCAAAATAATTTCTACATGACTTATATCACTATAATTCTCAGCTCTCCATTTATCAAATTTATTCTTATTATAAAAAAAAATCACGCATAAGTATATGCAAATTAAAAACAAAGTGTACTTACTATCAAATAAAAAGATAAATTTCAATTCTATAATTTCTAACATTTCTAAATTATGTATTTGTATATACTTTAGGCTGTTTACAGAACATTGAAATCGATTCAAAACATTCGATATGTCAAGTAGCAAAATTTGTCTATACGGATATCAATATTTTTTTTATTCGCAATTACCAGTGATGTGGAGATCATAATCGATTAAGAATAAATGGCAAGATAACCTCGATTTCATGCTCTGTCGCTTAATTCTCAAGAATTTAATATTATGAAGGTAATTTTTTACATTCGACATTCAACAATGTCAATGAAAGTGTATTGTACAATAACATATGTATAACATTGCTAGCTACGATTATACATGAATATATTATAAACACGATATAAGGGGAATTGATAATCACAAAAATATAATTAACATGTTGTGTAGAACTTCCAGGCTGAACTATGATCATAACACCAACAATTTTCATTAACAATTATGATGAACTTTTATCCAAAGTTGTACAATAAATATTAAACTGACAATTGTGCGTAATTATGATATATTTTACAAATATCCATCTTTTTTTTATTTTCAAATAAATATTAATATTCTGAACTTGTCAGTTTTTAACAAAAAAAAAATATATGGAAAAAACTTACTAGATAGATATTTTTCAATTTTTTATGGCCCTGAATTTTTTTGTCACAATGATTAAAGTAAAAAATTAATATGATATTCATAAATAAATTCAAGAAAAATAAATAGCATGATTGATTTATTGATTGACAAAATCTACTATTAGTTAACATAATTTAAAAATTTGATACACTTAGCACATGCTAGTTTTTTTTCATAAAAAATTCATTTAACTTCTTGAAATATTAAAAGTTTATAGCAAGAGCCTAAAATAAACTTTCGTTAAAAATTTTAACAAATATAAGGCGTGATTGTTAGAGAAATATTTATCATTGAACACATTCATAGAATATATAATTTATGGAACACTGTTAAATTTTATAAGCAATTTAAAATTAAAAATGTTTTAATATTTTTCTATTTGCATTCATTTTATAATTTTAAATAAACATAAGTTATAATATATATATTCTATCTATACATAAACCAAATGTTTAATACATATAAAATAAAAAATTTTACAATATTACTAAAACCTAATTGTTTTAAAAAATAAGTAAAATATGTGTTTATAGTAAACTTTTAACAATCGTCATTATAATAATGTATAATAATATAGCATTTAATTATATTTATTTCATAGCTGTTTGATCAGCTATTGTTTTCTTACTTTTATCCCATAACAAGAATCATTATATCTTTTGATCAACAAATTTCTATTGAAATACAAAAACACACACACTTTAAAAATATACATATATGTGTATATATATAACACGTAATTCTTAAGAATAAAGCCCAAAACCACTATGTAATAATATTAGCTACATTTAATTCTTTTATTTAAACTCCTTACAAAGGAGTTTATAATTCTGCTTTTTTGTTTTGTTATAGAAGAAGTAGCAACTGATTGTTTGATGACCAATATTTTTAATATGTTCATTGGTCGCAAAATTTCAACAAGTTATAATATTGAGACAGGATTAAATTTATTACAATAAATTTATTACAATAAATTAATCTTCAAATTTATTATTTGGCACAGAGAAAAAACAAAAAAACAAAAAAAAATCAAAATTATATTATTTCATTAATGTATTTATATTCCTTTTTTTTTTTTAAATTTTTAATCCAGTCTCAGATGAATTTTAAGTATTGAGGTTGTCTTTATATGTTTACTAGTGTATATAATACATATACACATATAAAAACCTCAATTATATAAATGTTGATCGAACAAAAGCACATGCTATTACTTAACTATATGGAATGTACTACTAAATCTCTAATCAATTACTAATACATAGAATCTTAACATTATCGATAAGATATTTTATACGTCCTTAAAACACAGTTAAAAGAATTTATAGTTTTATAGAATCAATAATATTAAAACTGCGAGCACCATAGATCTACAATAAATCATTCGTTGTAGAACTTCAGCGCTTCGTGTAAAAAATATGTGTTAAAGATTCGCGTGTTTCAAACATAAAAATCTCTTGGTCGATGAATGTTAATTTTCTTCATATGTGATATAATTATAATTGCAGCCTGAAATAAAACTTTCAAAAAATACACGGACAATAGATATGTAGCCAAATATGGTCATTAAAATGTAGATACATCATGTACTTTGGTAATTATATCTTTAAATATCATGCCTCGTTTGTACTTGGATCACTGCATCACAGTAATGCAGTAAAACTGATGAGGTTTACGATTCTTTGAGCTTTTTTTCGCAATTATTATAAACTTAAAAAAGGAACTTTAAAATTTTACATTAAAAATCGTACAAATAAGTACACAAAAGTTTAAAACTCAATTAATTATATAAACAAAAAAAATAGAAGACATTAAAAACATTTCTACAAAGTGCAAAAAACCTCTTAAAAAGTTAAATGATAACTTATTTTATCGCCAATATCGAATTTCATTAATTACTATTTAATATTAATAATTAAATATGCAAGATTTACTAGAAAGTGTCATAATATAACTTAAATTTTATTTTTATATCTAAATACTTTTCAAGAAATACTTTTTTGGTACAAAACTCGCATTAAAGAAATAAATAATAGTTCATTTTATAAAAAAAATAATGGTAAAACATTTTCATTAAATTTTTTGTATGACAATAATATGAACATACGTAAAAAAATAAAAGGACGTTTGATCAGTGCATCAATAGTTGATAGAATTAACAAATCCGTGTGTTTTCATTGTACTGTAAGAGTACATTCTTCTCTTAACAAAATCCATATTGGTTTTTCTTAGTAATTTCTGTATTTGACATGTCCTGAATTTAATCATAGTTTTCCGATTCCTGTTGTACTAATTTAAACCGACGTGGACTCTTGACACACATCGATCCATGACCTTCTAAGGAGAGACGGCCTTTTCGTTGAAGATATCTCGTTATATAGCGTGCGATTAATTCTTGCGGTCTTATTTGCCATTCGTCCAGAACTTCTTTTGGTGCTAATACCTATAATGATAAATTTAAATTGAAAATAATATAATTTTTAAGAAATGTTACTGTAATTATTATATTACAATATGATAAATATATTTAATATAAAAAAATTTTTTAGAATTAAAAATATTAGTATAAATTATTTATGACAAAAATAGAATAAATCGACTTTCCTTTACATTGAGATATTTAAAGATTTATATTTATATTGATTTAAAAATATTGATAAATTCTATTACATTTATTCATGTTTCTATGAATTTAAATATGTAACATGTAATATGTAAATTTATTATAAATGATTTTTATGATTTTTTTATGATTATAAAACATTAAATATGTTTTAATTTGATTTTCTAAATAAAAAATAAAAAATAAGATAGTATTTTTTAATATTTCTTTACATGTTATTAACATGTTTTTATATTTTTTTTAATTAAATTTATTTTAATTAGATTTTATTCATGTAAATTAGAAAGATTTTTGTACATTTCACTTTTTAAATTTCTTTATTAATTTTTTTAATAAAAAAATTAGTCTTCATAGCGTGAAAATACCTGATCTCCTTTGAATCGATCTATCAATGTTACGCAAACAACAGCAGCTTTGATGCCCGCATGATGTGTCAGAGCAGCAAATGCAAGACTCTCCATTTCTATATTTATTACGCCAGCTTTATGCAGCTTGTTTAAATACTCTATTTTTTCATTTTCCGTGAATTCGCAGAATGCACCATCCATTCGGCCTTGTCCTTCGTAGAAATCATAAGTACACATCGTTTTACCGATTACAGTATCATAAGGATTGTCACGATGTGCTAGTGTCTTCAAATCACGAGCCAGCTGTCTGTCTAATTTAGCAGGTCTTCTTACCATTTTACCAAGTACAGGCTAAAAAAAAAGATATAAAAATAATAGATATTATAAATAAAGATATCATAAAATAATTTATTATGTTAGTAATTAAAATACTTTATTAATAATACAATATATTATATATTAATTATAATTATATATTAAACGATTGTTTCATATCTTAATCTTTTGACTATATGACATAGTATTTTTCAATATTTTTAATATTTTCAACAAATCCTTTATGATAACCAAATAACACATGATTACATTTTTTTAATTTCGATAAAAAATTATTTTAATAGAAGCTAATTTATATTAATTAATTTCGTAAATTAAATATATTCGGAAAATATAAAAAGATTTGATTCATTCTTAATTCATCTTGGAAATTTATATATCAAAATATCAGCAACACGAAAATAAATCATGAATCTTATTTTATTCTCGATGAATTAATATGTTTATATATTTATTAATATTATAATATATATAATATATCGCCATTATTGAAATACATAATGTCAAAAATCATGATTTTTTTAAAATAAAGTTTTTTTTCCAAAAAATATGTTGCTACAAAAATAAAAATATGGAATTTTTCTCAGAAGAATTTTTTACCAGTTCCAAATAAGACTTCAACATTCCATCGACTGCTTCCTCAGAAATTACGACAGTGCCACCTTCAAGACCAATTCCTCCGCATGTACCAATCCTGAAGAATATTGGATCTTTCACCTTTGCATGGTACATCAGCTTAATCACTTCGTGAAGCAAGATTCCAACCGATGGTATACCCATTCCATGCTAAACAAAAAAATATATTCTCTGCATTCTCCTTATGTCAATGTCAAGATTTCTTCCCATCAAAACATTTTCAAATTCTTTTAAATAGTCATTATTTGATATATTTGATATGTACGTGTATATATGATGTAATATGCGTCTAGATTTCAAGATTAGAATCTTATTAATAAAAGATTATTGAAATCAAAGTTTGAATCATGTTAAAAAAATGTTATTTAGTTATACATGTATATGGATCCGAAATTAGCAACAATTTATATAGTAGGTCATCGTTCGTAACTGTTCTTAATATCTTTCTTGTACTCTCTCTCTCTAATGTATTTCAATAAACTCTATCTTTATCTTCATTTATCGCAAACTTAAATTGCTTATAACTTAATAATAGATCTTCATCAACATTTTTACATAGCAACTTTTATGTTTGTTTTAATCTCTAAACCGTTCAAAGATGTCTCGCAAATATTTCAATATTCTATACATATAAGGATTAAAAAAAAAACTTGCAAAACAATTCTTCTTTTCTTTTTTTCTTTCTTTTTATTCGTCATATGATAAATATCGCAATTTCTTTTCACGCCATTTGCAAAAAATGAACTGCATTGTGATCATGCAATTTATTTTATATTTCTCGCGTCATTCAACGAGTTATCACATTTTACGGATGATGTACACAAAGTATCGATAAAAAACAATTTGTTCTATAGACGAATTGAGTAACTGGTGCATGGTGAAAGAAAAAAAGCGTATGATTAGCGTGAAATACTCAACTCCATGTTTTCCCTTCGACTGGAATCTTGATTATAGTTTGTATAGCTCAAGCATATTTTATCTGATATATGATATTGATCAATATCTTCTATTATTAGTAAAACGAATTTATAATTCTTAATTATTCTATTCTATTTATTCTATTTATTATTTATATCGATAATTACAATATGAATAATTAAAATAATAATAGTTTTATAAGTAAAAGTTTTATATTTAATTAAAAGCTTTTTATTAATTTAAAATTCCTTGAAAACAAGATTTTTGCATGAATAATTTATTTAATTTAATATTATTTTTTATTCTCTATTCTTTTTAAGAGAAATTAATTTTTAAAATAAATTCAACAAAATCAACAAATTATCTCTTTAAAATAATATTGAATATAATATTTTATCTTTTATTTGTAATATTATGGAATATTATTTTAAATATTTTCAAATACAAACATGTTTCAACGAAAATAAAATCCACAAAATAAGCAAAATTTTAATGTTTATTCTTCTTGGATAAATTTGCTTGAGAATATTATTTTGAATTTAAAGAGAACAATTTTCAACATCTTTCCGAATGTTTTTTCGGCATAATTACATAAGTTAATTATACACGTATTCCAACGGATCTTCGAAATACAATACTCGATTAAATTGAATCCGACTTAACCATGAGCAAATATCGCATCAGAATATTTCATTTGATTTCAATAAGCTTTTCAATTTCAACTACGCTTTCGTTCGAAAGTATAATATTTAATTAAATCCAGATTACATAATTGTATAAATACATGACATTTTGAAAAATAATTAATTCAAATTATAAGAAGAAAATGATGTATTATAACATTTTGTAAATTATACATTATACAATTAAACGAAATTTCTATATATGAGGATAAAATTAAATAGCATTTATACATTTTTCATATTTCTACCTTAAATTTATATCTTTAAATATTTCGCACGAAATTTTAATCTTTTTTAAATTTATGTAATAATCAGAAAGATCGAACAAGATATTAATTGTTAATAATTGTTAATATATATATATATATATATATATATATACAATAAATTTTTAAAATTAAAAACAAAAATAATATTATATATACTTACACTAATAGAAAGAACCGGTCCAACTTTATACATGGAATAACGATATGAATACTGACTAATATCAAGAAGTGTTGTTCCGGCTGGAAGCTTATGACCTATTTCCTTCATTATGTAATTAGCGAATTGTTCCATACGCTTCGGCGTTCCTCCCATACACACAAACTGTAAAACAAAATTATACAATAATTTAAATTGTATTCGTTTATTTAATTCTAAAATAAAATATAATACAGTAATATTCCATTTATATGAATCTATCAAGGAATAAATGTGTTTACATAATTCTTGATAGACCTTCACTTAATTTTCCCACCAGCTATGATTATATAAAAGAATTTCACAAAATATTTTCTGTTAAAATGTATAATAAATCAAATATTATATCTTTGTTTGTAAGTTTAGAAACAATTTTGTAAGTATAATAATTGTTTGATGAATTAACTTTTATATATTTTATATCAGAGATATGATGTATATTTGTAATTATATATATAATCCTTAATTAATCCTAACTAAAAAGTATTAAATCATTCTTTACAATTTATAGATTTTTACTATTTTCTTTGCGATTTTGATTAATTATAATTTTTCCAAAATTCTTTTTACATATAATAAACTTAAAAAAATAATATAGTAATAAAAATAATAAACTTTTTAATTTATGTTTCATTCAATTTTAAAAAATTTATTCTAAAAGATGATTGAAAACTTTTTGCTAGAAATTATATTATATTATAAAAATGCTCATATGCTCAAATGGACAAATATTCTTTGATAGCTCAGATAACAAAAGTATAATTATTATTTTAAAACTCGCTTATTGATGACAGTTGTGTTTTGCGTAAAATCTCGACAATAGTCATATTCAAAAGATTAAAGAATTTTATATATTGTTTTGTTTGATGAAATATCTTCCGTAAAACACATGCATCATACATCAGCGAGTTAAGAAATCGCTTTCATCATTAAATGAATGAAACAAAACCAGAACGAGACGCGCTTTTTGGTGTTTATAATTTGTAACGGTGCAATTGCTCTTTTCTGGAGGAATAGAACATTCGTACAATTCATGAGTGAATATAGTTGGCGTGCGACGTACAAAATAATACCTCGTGGATTACCACCTCCTGTATAGTCGAGGAATGCGCATAGAAGTTTCGGCTATTGTTCTATTTAGGTCATGAAATACTGTACTTTCTTTTAATGGCGAACTCCTCATTGATCTGTCTATGAATACACAGTTTCGTTGATAACATGAAAGGATGCCGCGATAAAAAAGAACGTGTTTGTAAATCGTATGTACGATGACATTCATTCAACGCAGATATTTAAAAATCAAGATTAATTTAAAATTACTTTTTTAATTTGAAAAATAATCTACTTTTGAAATAATACTATTTCATGAAACATTCACACAAAAATTAGATTATTATATTTGCAATTAAGTGATTTATTTATATATTCGTTCCATAAAAAATTCATTTATAAGTTTATTTATCGTTTTCTATGATTATTTATCATTTGATTTTGATGAAAATAATTATAATAGTTAATATATAAATAATGATTACTAGAAGTAATCAAATATTTATATTATTATTATTGCGATTATTATTATTAATATTATTATTATTAATATTATTAATAATCTAATCTGAATTTTATTTAAAAAATAAATTTACAGTTAAGAAATATTTCGTCAAATAATCAATTCTTCAATTTATTATTTACTTGTCCAA